TGCCTCCCCACCACCCATTTCGGCACACCCCTCACACGTTTCGTGGCCCCATAGGGAGCTCCACCGAAGGCCCCAGTGGCTGCGTTCGCATGCTTCCCCACCACCCATTTCGGCACACCCTTCACACGTTTCGTGGCCCCATGGGAGCTCCACCGAAGGCCCCAGTGGCAGGGTCCGCATGCCTCCCCACCACCCAATTCGGCACACCCCTCACACGTTTCGTGGCCCCATAGGGAGCTCCACCGAAGGCCCCAGTGGCTGCTTTCGCATGCCTCCCCACCACCCATTCGGCACACCCCTCACACGTTTCGTGGCCCCATAGGGAGCTCCACCGAAGGCCCCAGTGGCTGCGTTCGCATGCCTCCCCACCACCCATTTCGGCACACCCCTCACACGTTTCGTGGTCCCATAGGGAACCCCATCGAAGGCCCCAGTGGCTGCGTTCGCATGCCCCCCCACCACCCATTTCGGCACACCCCTCACACGTTTCGTGGCCCCATAGGGAGCTCCACCGAAGGCCCCAGCGGCTGCGTTCGCATGCCTCCCCACCACCCATTTCGGCACACCCCTCACACGTTTCGTGGCCCCAAAGGAGCTCCACCGACGGCCCCAGTGGCAGGGTCCGCATGCCTCCCCACCACACATTTCGGTACACCCCTCACACGTTTCGTGGCCCCATAGGGAGCTCCACCGAAGGCCCCAGTGGCGCGGTGCCTACGGGAAGAGGGGCCAAGTTTGCGTGCCCCCTCCTTCGTCTCATATCCGTGCGGTACTCGCAGCTGCATATGGTTGGGTCCTTCGCCAGGCTAATGTTTTTTGTTTCCGCGAGAGTTGCGCAACAACCCCCCAGCGCGCGCGCGCGCCGCGCGCAGCGCGCGCCGCCCACATCACGCACCACACACCACAAACACACTACACACCACGCACACCACACACACATGCACCGCGCGCACCACACACCACACACACCACACACCGCACACAAACACACAAGCGCACACACGCACCACACGCCACACGTACACCACGCATCACACACAAACACACCACACACCACACACACTGAAAACGCCACGCCACACACACACACTACACACCAATCACACACCACACACACACACACCACGCACACCACACACACACCATGCACACCACACACCACACACCACGCATGCCACGCACTCCACAAACACCACACACACACCGCACACACCACGCACACGCCACGCACACCACACACCACGAACACCAAACACACCACACACCACACACCACACACCATACACACACCACACACCACGCACACCAAACCACACACACACACACCACGCGCACGCGCACGTAAGCGCACGCGCACGCGCACGCATCCACGATTGCACGCGCGCGCGCGCGCACGCACGCGCGCGCCCCCACCCTCACACCCCCGCCCGCGCCCACGCCCGCACCCACGCCCTCGCCCACGCCAGCGCCCACACCCACGCCCGCGCACACCCCCGCACCCCCGCGCGCCCACTCTCCACGCGCCCACGTTTGCGCCCGCGCCCACGCCCATGCCCGCGCCCACGCCCGCGCCCCCACGCGCCCACGCCCGCGCGCCCACGCCCGCGCGCCCGCGCCCACGCCCACGCGCGCACGCGCCGACGCCCACGCGCCCGCGCGCCCACCCCCACGCGCCCACGCATCCACGCCTACGCGCCCGCGTGCCCGCGCCCGCGCCCACGCCCACTCCCACGCCCGCGCACGCGCGCACGTGCACGCACACGCACACGCACGCGCACTTGCACACGCAGTTGCACGCGCACGCGCACACGCGCACGCGCGCGCACACGCGCATGCGCGCGCGCGCACGCGCGCACGCACGCACGCACGCACGCAGACAGGCAGACAGACAGACAGACAGACACACAGACACGCAGACACACATACACACTGACACACAGGCACACACACAGACACTCACGCACACGCGCAAGCACACACACATTCACACACACACACACACGCACACACACACACACACACACGCATGCACGCACACACACACACACAACAGCACAAACACACAAACATACAAACACACACACACACCGACACGCCAACACACAAACACACAGACACACAACTACACAGATACACAGATCGTGCCGGTTCCAAGGAAAAGACGGACAATCTTGGGGACGAGGGTGGATATAAACATCCAGGAAATGCGGAACATATAGGGGATCATTGGATTTCTGTTTATTTATTTGTGCATCTCTGCTGGGCCCCTTCCAAAGAGGACGCCGTTTTCTGTCTCCCGCGCGATCCGCCGCAGAGACGGCAATTGCATAAACAGAACTTACCCCGTCACGTACCCAACCCATCTGCACCAAAGCACACATGGAGTTGGCCCACACTTGCATGGACAATGACAGCGCGCGGGCTGCAGCCGACAGCCGCCTCTACCTTCCCTTCCTCCTCGCGCAGGTCTCACGTGCTCCGAAACAGACAGGTAGCTTTGCAGGTCCGACGGGCAGCTTCGTCAAATAATGTGCATGGCACCCAGGGGCACAGGCTCGACGCGCTTCACGAAGGATATGTGGACGAATATGCAGGTCCGAAAAACGATTCGTCAAATCATGTTCTGGGCGTCCCAAAATAAAGCCCCAGCAGCTCTCGAAAGTGGCGACAGTTTCGCAGATCGCAACCCCGCAGGGTTGGCGAGGTCCATTGTAAAGCTGCGTAGCACGTCGCTCCACCGGACCCCCCAGCAGCCCTCGAACGTGGCAACCGTTTCGCAGATCGCAGCCCCACAGGGATGGCGAGGTCCAATCTGAGTCTGCGTAGCACGTCGCTCCGCTGGACCCCGCAGGAGCCCTCGAAACTAGCGACAGTTTCGCGGATGGCAGCCCCACTGGGACGGCGAGGTCCAGTCTGATTCAGCGTAGCACGTCACTTCGCTAGGCCTCCCAGCAGCCCTGGAAAGTAGCGACGATTTCGCAGATCGCAGCCCGCAGGGATGGCGAGGTCTACTCTGGATTTGCGTAGCACATCACTCCGCTGGACCCCCCATCAGCGTTCGAAAGGGGCGATCGTTTCGCAGATCGCAACCTCACACGGATGGAAACATTTAACCTGAAGCTGCGTAGCGCGTCGCTTCGCTGGAACCCCCGGCAGCCCTCGAAAGCGGCGAGAGTTTCGCAGATCGCAGCCCCACAGGGATGGCGAGGTCCAGTCTGGGTCTGCGTAGCACGTCACTCCGCTGGATCCCCCGGCAGCCTTCGAAAGTGTCGACCGTTTCGCAGATGGACGACGAGGTTTAATCTGAGTCTGCGTATCACGTCATTCCGCTGGACGCCCCAGCAGCCCTGGAAAGTGGCGACCGTTTCGCAGATCGCAGCCCCACAGGGATGGCTAGGTCCAATCTGAGTCTGCGTAGCACGTCGCTCTATTGGCCCCCACAGCAGCCTTCGAATGTGGCGACAGTTTCGCAAATCGCAGCCGGGGATGGTGACGTTTAATGTGAGTCTGCGCAGCACGTCGCTCCGCTGGACCACCCAGGAAACCTCGAAAGTGGCGGCAGTTTCGCAAATCGCAGCCCCACAGGGATGGCGAGGTCCAATCTGAGTCTGCGTAGTACGTCGCTCCGCTGGACCCCACAGCAGCCTTCGAATGTGACGACAGTTTCGCAAATCGCAGCCCCACAGGGATGGCGAGGTCCAACCTGAGTCTGCGTAGCACGTCGTTCCGATGGACCCCCCCAGCAGCCCTGGAAAGTGGCGACAGTTTCGCAGATGGCAGCCCCACTGGGACGGCGAGGTCCAATCTGAGTCTGCGTAGCACGTCGCTCCGCTGGAGCCCACAGCAGTCTTCGAATGTGACGACAGTTTCGCAAATCGCAGCCCCACAGGGATGGCGAGGTCCAATCTGAGTCTGCGTAGTACGTCGCTCCGCTGGACCCCACAGCAGCCTTCGAATGTGACGACAGTTTCGCAAATCGCAGCCCCACAGGGACGACGAGGTTTAATCTGAGTCTGCGTATCACGTCATTCCGCTGGACCCCCCCAGCAGCCCTGGAAAGTGGCGACAGTTTCGCAGATGGCAGCCCCACTGGGACGGCGAGGTCCAATCTGAGTCTGCGTAGCACGTCGCTCCGCTGGAGCCCGCAGGAGCCGTCGAAAGTAGCGACAGTTTCGCAGGAGCCCTCTAAAGTGGCGACGATTTCGCAGATTACAGCCCTATAGGGATGGAAGAGTCAAATCTGAGCCTGCGTAGCACGTCACTCCGATGGCCCCCCCAGCAGTCTTCGAAAGTGGCGATCGCTTCGCAGATCGCAGCCCCCCAAGGATGGCGAGGTAGGAGACAAGCTGGCACGCAGAAAGGAACGAGGTAAGAGGCAGGAGAGAAGATACAGCAGGCGGAAAGAAGGAGAAGGAGGAGGTGGAGACCGCACTGCTCTATTCAAACGAGTACCCAACGCAGGAGGGTTCGGAACTGTAAGAGCTCCACGCGGATTTATTGGATCGGCGCTGGGGCCCCCCCTGGTGGCGCCTCCGGCGCAGCTCCTGGCGCGCCCCGCGCGGCGGCAGGGAGGAGGGGTCCACCGCCACTGCAAGAAATCCTCGTGGACCTCCGAGAACTTATGGTTATGCAGTTGTTTGTTGTTTTAGCGAAGGATATCGTGTTCCTCCCGCCCGCGCGATCCAGCCCCCCGCGCATATTGAGCATCTCAGTGTGCCTGGTATGCTTGAACCGTAGGCACACTAAATAAGAGATTGGCTGCCAGCAGGTGCACCGTGGAAGTTTCTTATTCTCCGTAGTCCCTGGACACCCGCTGGAGTTCTGGGGGTATCCTGCGAGGCCTCTGGATTTCTTTCCAGCTCGATTTCTGAACGTATGCGCCCACTATGGTTTGTGTTTGTGTGTGTGTGTGTCTGTACTGGGCGTGGTCTGTGGGCGTTCTTGAGCGGCCGGTTGCTGCTAGCAGTCTTCCAGGCAGTTGTTGGACCAGAGCGGCCCAGGCTCGGCGCCTGACGCGGCCTTGCTCTCGGTGCCGGTCGTCGCGGCCCAGGAGATCCGCCTGCACGCTGAGAGTTCGAGGACGCCCCTTCGTGTGCCGCGCGACGTTTTTGGACATTGTCGCTGGTTATCTGTTCTTTCGCAGCCTCGGGATTCTCTCCAGCAGCTGCGCATCTGCGAGAACGTTCTGAGGGGCCCCGTATCCTCCCGAACGGCCACTGGAGGCCCGAGTTGTGGACAGAAAGCCACCAGGAACGGGGATAGGCTCAGGGGGGGATGCATGGACCCCCGCTCGCCCACTGATCGCCGATAGGGGCTTGGTAGCCCATCCCGCCCAGGAATGTGCAGATTCGCTATCGGGGGTCCATCGCCGATCTATCTGCGATGTATCGCCGATTCCAGATCGACTTTCCCCCCTGAGCCAGTCCCCCTCCAGCGTCCCCCTCCACTGAGTAAAAAGGATACCCTGCTTGTCGGGAGCCCGCGCGGATTTATTCGGTCGCCGCTAGCCCCCCCGCCCTCTCTCCTCGTGCCCCCTCCCTGGCGCACAGAGCGCGCCAGGGCGGGCCCGGGGCGGCGCCGGATGCGTTGTCAGGGGTAGCGGGGAGGGCGTGTCCAGCGCCGATCCGAAGAATTTCGCGCGGACCTCCAAATGCTTTACGCTTATGCGTTTTTTGGTATCTGGATCGCTCGACCTCCCCTCTGCTCGCCAAAGCGGAGAGCCGACCTGAGGGTTCTTGCGATGCCTGCCAGGCCGCGGAAGGAGAACGGAGCAGGGATATAGAGAGAGCAAGGTGGCGTGTGACGAGATGGCCAAGCCAGTGGCCGAACACGTGGGAGGGGTTGTGCGGCTCGTTGGCTTCGCCACGATTGCCGTCCCCGAGAGCTCCCATCCTCCAATGCCCATGTCGATCCGAGCGATCGATCCGACTCAACATCAAGTCGGGCTGACCCGATCTGGTTCGACTCCGATAATCCGACGAGTCGATGCGACCCGCTGCTCGCGTGGCATGTTGCTATTGCGTATCTTTGCACGGCCGATCCGATTAGCTTTCGACTCCGTGCCGATACGGCCCTTTCGATGGACAAGCCGATCCGGCCGATTTTCGTGGGCGGGAAGCATATCCTCGTCCACGGACGGATCCAGCCCCTGAGCCACGACCCCGTGGATACGGGGCTTTTTTCCGCGGATGCCCCGCGCCGAAGGTATCCGTGCCACCGCATAAGCGCATTCGCGGGATCGCGCCCCGGAATCCAGATTGCGAGCGCCGGGACATGGACACGCCAGCCGCTCGTGAGACTTCCTGGCTCTCCGCGGACGGACCCTCTCCCCCTCCGGCCACGACCGCACCCGCGCTCCTTCTGCTGCCCCTCCAGCGTGCGCCCTCCGTGCGGCGAGGGGCTCGGCCGAGGCTCCGCGGAGGCCCTCGGGCCAAGGCGGCCTGGAGTGGCCCAGGAGGCGAGCAGGAGGGCCCACCCCAGGAGCCGAGGGACCTGTGGAGGTGCTGCCCAGAAGGCCCCGAGATCCTGGCGGAGCATGCTTGCTCGTTCCCAACCATCCTGTGGTGTTTTGGTGCTCGGTTTCAGGAGAGCGCCCCGTGTCCTCACTCCTCCCACTGCCCTTCCCTCCGCGCATTCTCATGCGTCTCCCTGCATTCATGTCCGTACACCCCTCGCACGCTTCGTGGCCCCATAGGAAGCTCCACCGAGGGTCCAGGTGGCGCAGCCCGCATGCGTCCCCGCCACCCATTTCGGCACACCCTCCCACGCTTCGTGGACCCATCGGGAGCTCCACCGAAGGTCCCAGTGGCGCAGCCCGCATGCGTCCCCGCCACCCATGTCGGCACACCCTCCCACGTTTCGAGGACCCATCGGGAGCTTCACCGAAGGTCCCAGTGGCGCAGCCCACATGCGTCCCCCGCCGCCCATTTCGGCACACCCTCATACGTTTCGTGGTCCCATTAGGGGTTCCCCCAACGCATGCGCCCCCCCAACCATTTCGGCAAACCCTCAGACGTTTCGTGGCCCCATCGAGTTCTCCACCGGAAGTCCCAGCGGCGCAGCCCGCATGCGTCCCCGCCACCCATTTCGGCACACCCTCCCACGCTTCGTGGACCCATCGGGAGATCCTCCGAAGGTCCCAGTGGCGCAGCCCGCATGCGTCTCCGCCACCCATTTCGGCACACCCTCCCACGTTTCGAGGACCCATCGGGAGCTCCACCGAAGGTCCCAGTGGCGCAGCCCGCATGCGTCCCCGCCACCCATGTATTTCGGCGGCACACCACTGCTGGCAAAAAGGAGAAGGAAGGAGATGAACGCAAAACGGTGGGGCCAGGGGCTCGGGCCACTGTGGGCCAGCCGGGCAGGAACGCAGCGCGCAACAGAAGCAAGGCGGGTTGAACGAGCTGGGAAGGAAACGGGCACGGGACGGCGGCGCACGGGGCCCCAGCGGCAGCGCCCCCACCCCATTCCGGCAAACCCTTCAGACATCTCTTGGTCCCATAGGGCTCTACCTACGACACCGTGGCGGCCCCGCCCCATTTCGGCACACCCTTCAGACATTTCTTGGCCCCACATAGGGCTCTACCTACGACACCGCTGGCAGCGCCCGCATGGCAGCCCCTCCCTATTTCGGCACACCCTTCACGCGCGTCGCGGCCCCAGAAGGGGATCCACCGAATAACGACGGGACTCCTGCCTTCATATGTTTGGGCCTTGCCAGGCTAACTCACTCTGTGCGTTGTCGCCTGGTTTCGGGCCCCAGGGCCCTGGCAGATCGGTCCGGCTCGAGAAGTGCGGCAGAAAGAACGGGTCTGGGGCTCCCGGTCGTGAGTGTGTGGCGATGCTGCTCTTTTCGTCGCAACATCAGATCTCAGGGGGTGGTCCAGGGTGGCTCCGAGGACCCTCCAGAAGAGCGCCTGAGATGCTCCGTAGCCATCTGGGTTCAATCCGGCGTTGGTTGATGTTCTCGGCTTCAGGGCTCCCTAAACGGGGCCTTCGATATAACGCAGGACGCTGGAGCGTCCGACAACACAGCAGGCGTTGATCCAGACACTCTCAATCCTTCGTGCTCTTCAGGCGGAATTCGGTAGCAAATCATGTGAGCCAGGTGTACCCTTGTATTTCTGTGTTCGGAGTGCACTAGCGTCGATTAGCGTCTGGCAATCGATGATCTAGTGCCGTTTCAGCGTCGAGTTCGCGAGAGCCAGCAAGATGGCATGGGATGCTCCGATCAGCCACCGAACTCCATCCTTCGTTCTCCCCGGGCGGACCTGCAGTCGATCTCGCACCGCGGTGCGCATGTCGCGGGACCTGTGGAGCAGAGGTAGCTCGGTGAGGTACAGGCTCGTGGTCGAGCGGGCGAGCGCCGATGCCGACCCGGAGAAGACCAGCAGCTCCGACGAGGAGTCGGTGGGTTCGCTCACCGACGCTGAGCACGCCGCGAAGCACTCGGGCTCGGTGGAGGCGCTCGTGAAGGCCACTGCCGCGGGGAGGTGTTGGCCCATCTCGCAGAGGGCGCAGATGCTCGAGCAGGCGGGCCTGAAGGGCCACCTTCTGCCCCTGCTGGAGAGCTTCGAGATGCCTCTGTATGGGTACTCGCGCCTCGCTGACTCCTATCTCGGGCTGGCGCGCGAGCGCTTCCTCGAGATCGGGAGCGGCGGCGATGATCACAACGATATGCACGGCAGGGGGCTCGTCGATGCGGCTGCTCCCTCGCGGTTCGCGTGGCTCTTGTCGAATTATTTGATGGTGCCCGGGATCGCGGCCGAGGAGTGGTTGGTGGCCTCGGAGACTCCGATGGTGGTGTTCGAGAGTACAGCCGACCCCGTGCCGTTCGGTTTCGCCAGCTTCCCAGACTCAATGGGAGCGTTCTACCTCAACCCGCGCGTCACGTGGAAGATGGGCGAAATGACGTACAAAGTCGCGGGTTGTTGGGGCACCTTAAGCGTCGCGAGCGAGAATCTGGTTCTGAAGGGCACGATGGTGTTCGACATCTCAGACAGCATCGTGCAGACACATTGTCTGATTGGCGTAATGCCTGAGGACGCAAAGAAGTTCGCGTTTGTGTACCCGGCCAAAGGTTTCACTGCGGGAGGATTCGTGTACTTGGACTCTGAGTCAGAACCTATTTCCGTGAGCCAGCTCTCAGTCAATTGTACCCGTCGCGGGTTCCGATTTGGAGGCATGCAGAGCATGGCCCTGGACGTAGCGAACGAGTTGGAGCCGTTTGCGATTGAGACTACGCTGCCGGCTATCAAAGGCAAGGGTGCACGCCGTTTCTGTTTCGTTGGCCCAGGCATGCTGAGGGATCGGGGCTTTAAGGATAACCTATTCGGTGGATTTGCATATTGGTTCGACGATGTTCAGAAGCACCGCTTCTTCCCGATTCTCGGGTTCTCCAGAGTGGTCGAGCGCGGCCCAGCCAGTGCGATTGGATCTGCCATGCTCTTCTCTGACAGGCCTTCGAGTGAAGAAGTCTTCAACGGCATCCTGTCCAAGAAGAATTTCGGGTTGAAGTCTGCCCCGTCAATACACGAACTCCGTAATCAGGTTGTTCTCAAGGTGAGCAAGTTGAACCAGTCGGGCCTGACTCACCCAGTCGTCCTGAGGGCCTTGGTGTTCACACCCAACGAGACTTCGATGGAGTCTGCTCAAATTCAAGCGGTTGTGTCAGCCGCCTTCGCAGAATGCTCGTCGCATCTCATCGTTGAGGCGATCATGAACATATTATCTATGGACTTGCGCCGCATCCGCCGACCCCTTGATTCATTTTCGGATGCCGTGCCGTGCCCGTGTGCCGTGCCCTGCCTGTCCCGCGCGCGCCGGGGCTTCTTGGCAGTCTTCGGGGCCGTCTTGGGGCGATGCAGGAGATTCGGGGCCCTCTTCGACGATCTTGGAATCGGAAAGATGGGAATGCTAAAACCAGACAAACAATACACATGTATTGGGATGGTACTGGCCCTCTGGGGTCTTCTCGGCGCTTGAACTTCAGATGGGTGTTCGTGGCCGTGGCTGGTTCGCATGGCGTTGCGCCGCTCATTTTGGCACAACCTTCACACGGATCGTGCCCAATAGGGAGC